CCTGAGGGGGCAAGATCAGGGTTGTAGGGCGGATGGAGTAACATTTCCCAAGGGAATTCTCATAGGACACCCCTTGCTACTCTCCTGAAGGGGGAGGGGGAGGGGGTCGGGGTGGGGGAATTCCTCCATGCAACTTTCCTGGATGTTTTTCTCACGCATATAGGTTTCCGTCTTAACATTTCTTCCTCACCAGCCCCTGTGATCATTTTGTACCCTTCTAGAAAATTCTATCAAGATGATCCCTTTAGAATCAAAGAAGAACAGAGCCCCTGGAAGCTACCATTTTGATTGAACCCTTTTTTCCCCTTCAGGCACCCCAACGAGACTGAGATGCGTGTATGAGGGAACATGTCTGCAGTCACCCACTGAGCACAGAGACAGGTTTAACCAGGTTTTGTTCAGAATAAATGCGAGCATGTATGGAAGGGCAATACTTTTTGACGGACACACTTCACAGGCTACCAGACTTTTGCCATAGGGATTTTGAGTGTTCTCGTTTACATTCTTAGGTATTTGGGGGGCGGAGAGGTGGGATTGGCTGCTATTTTGAATAATATCTTGTTTTCCATTTTGTTTTTACAACCGGATCTTACAGAAGGGATGTGATGAATTTTTAAATCTGGCAATTTGGCTGAACGTTCTCTTTAGGGCTAGAATTTTCTGTTGATTCTCTTTGCACCTCCTTTTCTCTGCTTGCATGATGTTCTCTATCCATCGAGTTGTTGTAATTTTTGTTTTCTTTCTGTGGATGTGTAATCCATACTGAAGTTTTTGATCTTCATCAGCAAGCGCTTCAATCCCCTTCACTTTCAGCAAGGAAGGCTGCGTCACCTGCACATCACAGGCTAGTAAGAAGCCTCCCTCCAATCCTGATGCTGCGTTCTTCTTTCTTCATATAGCCCAGTTTGGCAGATTATTTACTCAGCATGCAGATTGAATTAGCACGGTGAAAGGATACAACCCTGACGTATACCTCTCCTGATTTTCAACCTGCAACACCCCTTGATCTATTCAAATGATTGCCTTGATCTATTCAAATGATTGCCTCTTGGTCTACATTCAGTTCCCACATGAGTAGAGTTAAGTATTCTGAAATTCCCATTCCTAGAAATGGCATCTGTGGGAAACAGAAAGATTTCTCCCAAGTCGTCTCCCCAAATAGATGTTAGACTTAGGACACTGCTTGCAGCAAATGGAAAATGATTGCCAACTTACCTCCCTGAAGGCTTTCAATTGCCAGACTACTGTCTGGTCCCACCACAGGTAGAGCCCGATCCCTGCTGTTAAGGACAGTTGGCTTGACTAACCAAGAGAAAGCTCAGAAACCCTCACAGCAGTGTGTTGATTTTAAAAAGCAGGAGCCTCTTATTGAAAGAGTTTTTATCAGGAAGTTTTAACCTAAATAGTCAAGAAATTCAAATTGGTACTGGGGTTGATCAGAGTTGTGAAGTAAAGCTAAAAGCTGTAATTTAATCAGAAAGTATTAAGAGTGGTAATTGGGATCTGCTACCTAAAGAACTATGGGACGTTTACTAGCAAAGTCCAACCTAAATTCTCAAGGTGTTGCTGGAATTATTGATCAGGATTATGAAGAAGAAATTAAGGCAGTGATTAATTCTGATATACCATGGTTTATAAAGGAAGATTGCTTAAGCCAATTTTTGCTTCCCTGCATGTCTAGAGTAAAAATTTATACCTATCAGGAAAGAGTACTTGAGAAATTTGACCATCCTTTAAATCAAGGGGTCATTTGGAATGCTGTTGTGGGGAAACAACAGCGCCCCCACATGGAATTATAAATTGGAGGAAAGAGGTCTTTAAATTCTGGACATGAGGTCATTTCCTTAGGGCCTAAGACCCGCCCACTAATTCCCTCTAAATCCAGTTTGAAAGGAATGAGTGAAGTTAAACGAGAGAGAATATTGCAAGATTGTAAAATCCTACAGTGTAAGAAGCCTAAAGAACATTATGGCTTAATTGAAACTGTAACCATATTGGTAAACTTGGAGAAAAAATGTCTGTTTGGTAAATTATTTCAAGAACAGCTGAACAAATTTATTAAGAATTTTTTTCTGTCTTTCAAATCATCCCAAGTGTGGTCAGAAGTTCTCCCAATTTGTCAGCTCTCTTGATCCTCTGAGAGCTGGCAGACAACATTTACATAACAATGAAGGCTATCTAACTAGTAGTTTTACTGGTTCAAAACCAAACAAGTTAAATGCGATTGCCAGCAGAGCTGTAATATTTGCATGGTTAAAACAGAAGGGAGAGAACAGAAATCTTATATGTGACAACGTTCATATGGTTGTTCTAACCAAAAATTCGTTCTCCTTACTAAAAGCTTGTAACAAAATTAGGGCAGATAAACACATTTTCACTTCTACAGAGAAAATGGATCCTAAGAAGTCCCAGGAAGATGGAAATCGCGTTTGGGATCCAGGTCCATTTGTCACCTGGAGAAAGGGCTATATACATTTATGTTTTTGCAGAATAGAGCTGATGAACTCTCCTTAGGAGGACGCAACCATGTTTGGAGAAAGATGGACAAGAAGGAGGTGAAGAAACCACAAAACCCTAATCATAATTCTTTTTCCAGATTGCTGACACCCCGAAGGGAGGGGCTGTTTGCTTACGTTTTTACAGGCAAAGGAGATAGGTAGATTCCTTTTCAGCCAGCAAGGCCCAGAAAAAAGGAGGGAAGCTGATACTGTGACCTGACCCTGTCCTGCTACTGAGTTTATCCAAAATGTCAAGAAAACCTCTCAGATTCCTGAGAATGGCGACTGATGACTGCTGAGATATTTCTTCCATTGCTGATGCTGTCTAAGGGACTCTCTGGGACTCTATCATAACTGAACAGCTTTTGCAATAGTGACTGGACTATTATTACAGACTGTTCTTTTGCTGAAAGATCAAGATTTTGGACTTGCCAATTAATGCTATGATGTGATTGGAATGTAGCTGATTTTTGTATAACCCCTTTCCCATATAATAAGACATTGCATGATTGGGATTTGATTAGGAAACATTTACAAGGGTTTAAGGGAAACATTTCACTAGATGTTGATCAGCCTAAAAAGGATATTTTCTATACACTCAAAGACAAGCTTGAGGCATCTCCTGGCTCTGATATGATTAAGCAATTGGTGAATGGCATGGAAGGGTTGGATCCTCGAGCTTGGGCTAAAAGCATTTCACATATCTTAAGTTCCAGTCTGACTGTGTTGCTTATCATCATAATTTTGATGCTTGCAGTCTCGTGCTGCTTCTACAGGAAGCTAAGAGATATGAAGAGAGACCATGTTGCCTTTGTGACACTATTAAACCTTAAATGTAAAGCAGAAGGAGGAAATGTGGGATACTAGCACTGAGGGAAATAAAACTGGGACTTATTCCCTGACTGGTATGCAGGGAATCTGGAAGACTAGTATTCCATGGCAGGAAGACCGCCACTCCAGTAGTTGGAGATATAGTCTGAGTACATGTTCCTGCGGTAGTCTATCATTTTCACAGTTTCTCCCCTTAAAGATGTGCTGCCTTCAAGTGAGCAAATGGTTGATTTTATCTCCCCATCGAAGCAGACATTCCTATTGGCTCCATTTCCTCCCGCCACGGCATCCGATCCCTCTCTCCCTTCCTCTAATAGCAGATGAGCACAAGGGGACTTTATCCCTCATGCTTGAATTCAAAATGTTTGCTAGAAGCCTGAATTTTTAACTATATTAATTGGATCATGAAGTTTTGCCTTGACAGCTTTGAATGTATAGAAAATAACCATGTCACCCATGTGGCTCTTCTGAATTTTATATATAAAACAAAAGGGGAATTGTGGGAAACAGAAAGATTTCTCCCAAGTCGTCTCCCCCAAATATATGTTAGACTTAGGACACTGCTTGCAGCAAATGGTAAATGATGGTCAAGTTACCTCCCTGAAGGCAGTCAGTTGCCAGACTACTGTCTGGTCCCACTACAGGTAGGACCAGCTCCCTGCTGTTAAGGACAATGGGCTACTTCTCCCTAAAGGCTTGCAACCATTAACCTGGTTCCCATAGGTGGGGTTTACACCCTATTGATAATGGTTTCTATAGAGATCCAGAGAACAGG